TCTGGATATTCATCCTAACCCTAAAGAGAAGGAACCCACTCACCACTGCACAGAGACAAGGCTTTGGAAATTATCCCCAGTGATCTCCTTATTTGTTGCAAATAGTTTTCTTTGTGTGATTACTCCCCTTGGCTGAGTCTCTACTGTAACTCACCAAGGAGCAAACTAGCATCACTGTTGAAAGAGCTAAAGGCAAGCTGAGGGCAAAACACGAGCGGATACCCCGAAACCACCCCCTTTAATGTGGGATATACATACAACATTCCTCAGGCACTAGTAACTGCCCAAGAACAAAGGCAGGGGAAAAACAAATGCTCAGCTGATAAAGATCACAGTCATTTAGGACCTGAAACTCTAGTTGGTAACTGTCTTGATGATTTACAGGAAAAACACCATCTTAATAATAGGCCTCCAGGAACCTAGAGACTCAATTTCCTGGGGCCCTAACATCACCTTCACCTCCAAAAGATAGAAAACCCTATGTAATCAGTCACTCCTCACAATCACAGTGCGGCTCTCTGCCCACAGGTCCTGTCCTCATGCTCTAAAAAAACTCCTTTTTGCACCATAAAACATCTCAAGAATTCTTTCTTGACCATTGTGCTTGACAATCTTCCATCAACAGTGTGTCCTTCCCCTAATCCACACTCAAGATATTTTCAGGAATAAGTAGCATATTCTAATGCTTTTAGGGGTTTGAGTTTAGCTCCTTAAATGCACTAGGTTTTCAAAGATTTACACTAAGCTTTGGGCAGTTTTCCTCACATCGATTAAAATAGGAATTCAATTGCTTTAGCCTGTTGAATGTCAGTGTTCTCTAGGGGCACATACAAACAAAAGCTGATCCAAAAATGAAAAATAACCTGAGAATTTAAACACATTCATCTCACATCTTGAGGTTCACTTGACTAAACAGATCACAAATTCTACTTGGTTTCCCTAATTTTCTAACTTTCCCCACACCCTATCTCTCAATCAACTTACAGTTGAGGAGCCCAAGTGCTGAGGGAAACCAGAGCCAAAGGGCTGCACTATTTGAATCAGGAAAGGAATCCAGGAAACAAAACAGTGGACTCAGTACAGATAAGCAGCCTGCTTCCCCCAGGACAGAAGGAAAGCCACATTCAGAAGGTTCCACATTGTAGACTCTCCTGGTGGGGGCAGCCCTGGAGTGGGTCAGTCCCTGGTGAGGGAGGGTAGGGGCACCTGAGCAGCCATGGGAATGAACCCTGGGAGCCCCACACACCGTCCCCTCCCCAGGGCATAAGGGGACCGCTCCCTTCCTCAGGCTTCCATTCTCCCAGGTGAGGAAACTCTCAGCAGGATTCAGTTCAAGGTTCTGCCCCCAAATAATCTCCCCAGTCACTGACCCTAATCCAGAACACAGAACTTGACTTTCACAGACTTTCTCAATGGACACAATTTACACTCTGAGTTCCTCTACATTGCAGATGCAAAACTCCAATTTATGTTTAGAAAAGGCCCAAGGTGGGCGCCTGGGTGGCTCAGTTGGTTAAGCGACTGCCTTCGGCTCAGGTCATGATCCTGGAGTCCCGGGATCAAGTCCCGCATCGGGCTCCCTGCTCAGCGGGGAGTCTGCTTCTCCCTCTGACCCTCCTCCCTCTCATGCTCTCTCTCATTCTCTCTCTCGCAAATAAATAAAATCTTAAAAAAAAAAATTAGAAAAGGCCCAAGGGAACACGGTTACAACCTCAGAAAGAGTGTCTCACCCCCCCAACTTCCCCCAACACCCCCACCCCGTGCACTTCCATCCCCAGCTTTCCAGGGCTCTGTACTTTCAGTATTGAGGGCTCCTTCTCAGGTGTGTGTAAGTAGGTAGGACACCTGCAAGGCGAGCCCCACAGAAAGAACAACTGGGCCTTGAAGTGCTTTGGGGGTGAGATGGACCTTATTTTAGAGCCAATGACGGCATGCCTCTGACCCCACTAGAGTTGCTCTAGACCACCGCGGATACTTGAACACAAACCCAGTGTCTGAACAATCCAGCAAAATCCCTCAAACCCGGGGCACCTGGGTGGCTCGTGGTTGAGAGCCTGACTCTTGATTTCAGCTGGGGTCACAATCTCAGGTGGTGAAGTTGGGGCCCTGCTGCAGTTTCTGCGCCAGGAGCTGCTTGTCCCTCTGCTTCTACTCCTCCCCCTGCTCGCTCTCTTGCGATCTGTCTCTCGAATAAATAAATAAAATCTTAAAAAAAAAAAAACCCTCAAACCTAGCGATTATGAAAAAGGTGGGAAGAAAACTGTAAGGTATTTTTATCTTAAAGGATTTTATTATTTGACGGAGAGAGAGAGACAGGAACACAAGCAGGGGGAGTGGAGAGGGAGAAGCAGGCTTCCGGCTGAACAGGGAGCCCCATGCGGGGCTCGATCCCAGAATCCCGGGATCATGACCTAAGCTGAAGGCAAACGCTTAACAACTGAGCCACCCAGGCGCCCCTGTAAGGTATTTTTCTAATAAGAAAACCCACAAGTACATCGTGCTTTCAGAAAATAATGATGTTAATTCATTATTATTTGCACGGCAGGAAACTTTTATAAACGATCACACGAACACCCTGGTGTTGCAAGTCTAAGCCCTGGAATTTCATTTGAAATCACCCAAAAGTAAGGAACAGACCTCAGAAACAAACTCCACCGCTTAGGGGAAGAAAGAGAAACAAGAAACTTTAACACATGCAATATAGTACTATTTTCTCCCGAATTTCTCCTCTTTCTTGCCTCTTTGGAAATATGTTTTTCAAGACCTATTGATTAAATACATTTTACATTTATTGTAAAACAGAGACTTTAAAATACTGAATAAATGTTTTCAATGTGACAAACCCAAGAAGGGGCAGTGGGGTCAGGACAGATCACTCAGGAAAGCTTCAAAGGATGTTCAAAGTTCCAAAGTATAGCTGAGCCCAGGAAAGATCTTGGGGGGAGGGGCACAAAGCTTTCACGCAAAGTTGTTCCAGGTGATTATTCTCTGCTTCCTCTCATGTAAAATATCCACAAAGAATAAACCTTTCAAAATGAGCCATCCATTGACTGTGTGAAAACGATAAACAATTAAAATACTGCGTCTGTTTGAATTGCACCGCGGAGAACAAACAGTTGGTACTGATGCTATGAACTGAAGAGGGGAAGTTGGCGTCTGGGGAGGCGGGGCGGGATTTCGAAACAAGCATTTATTGCCAGTCCGAGGAAAGGAAAGGCTGGGAGACAGGGTCGTGGATTTGACCCTCTGCCGCCCAAACATCGGGAACACTCAGGAGAAAACGGGGGCCGCTCGGGAGGAAGGAAGGACTGGGGCCCCCGGACCACAGCACCTCCCGCGCACGAACCTCGGAGACCGAGTCACGACTGTCCCCTGACGACCCTCCCCCGTGATCACTGCATGATCGGGGAGACGCGGCCGCGCGCAGGGACCGAACAGGACGCTCACCATTTCCCGGCTTCTCGGTCCGCCGGCATCGTCCCTACGGCTCCCGCAGCCGGTGCAGGTCACCGCGCCATTGACGCGGCAGCAGGGCCACCTGGGACCGTTAAGCGCAGGTCAGACTTGACCGCGAGCAAGACCGCAAGCGTCCACGCGGCTGCGGAGCGTCGCCACGCCCACCTGCCCCTGCTGCGCCCCTGATTGGACAGCTCGCAAGGACCCGCCCCTCTGCTCCTGAGTGACAACAGGGCCGGAGGTCCGATTGCTGAGGCGCAGCAGTCTCTGCGGGTGGTCGGGAACCCGTGCCCTCCTTGGACGTTCGCTTTTATTTTTTTTTAAAGATTTTATTTATTTATTTGAGACAGAATGAGATACAGAGAGCATAAGAGGGAGGAGGGTCAGAGGGAGAAGCAGACTCCCTGCCGAGCAGGGAGCCCGACGCGGGACTCGATCCCGGGACTCCAGGATCATGATCTGAGCCGACGGCAGTCGCTTAACCAACTGAGCCACCCAGGCGCCCTGGACGTTGGCTTTTACATAAAACTTGGTCCACGCCCTAGAGGGACAGTGGCGCCTTCTTGCAGCTCCCTCTAAACGTGGGGACACAGGTGTGCGCAAGGAGTCCCAGAGTCCGTTCCAGTGGAGCGACGCCCTTGTTCAGAGCAAAAGGGGCGCCTGACCAGGCCATTAGGGACCAGGGGGTGTTCTGGGGTTGGCATGAGTTTGCGAAGCCACTCATGGAGCTGTGACCCTTGTTTACAAACACACTTAAAAATTACCTCACCCCGCTGCGCCTGGGTGGCTCAGTTGGTTAAGCGTCTGCCCAGCTCAGGTCATGATCCCAGGGTCCTGGAATGGAGCCCCCACCCTGCTCCCTGCTCAGCAGGGAGTCTGCTTCTCTCTCTCTTAAATAAATCCCCACCTCTGGTGCTCTCTCTGTTAAATAGATAAAATCTTTTTTTAAAAAAATTACCGTATGCAATAAAGACTGACTCCATATTGATAACTTTAACTGTGGGCAGAGACGAGGCTCCACCCACCCCTTCTCCACCTGCAAACACGTGGTACTTCAGCTGAAGAATTCCATGACTTCCCAAGCCCTATTAGGGGTTTGAACCCCACAGCCTGAGCCTCAGCACAGGGACTCTACTCCTCCAACCATAAGCTGTGAGATGTGCTCATTAAAACTCTCAGGTGTCCATTGAAATTCAGCTTTTGAGTGTGTGCCTAGAAATTTTGAAATGTAGGGTGCCTGGGTGGCTCAGTTGGTTAAGCGACTGCCTTCAGCTCAGGTCATGATCCTGGAGTCCCAGGATCGAGTCCCACATCAGGCTCCCTGCTCAGCAGGGAGTCTGCTTCTCCCTTTGACTCTCCCCTTCTCATGCTCTCTCTCTCATTCTTTCTCTATCAAATAAATAAAATCTTTAAAAAAAATTTTTTTGAAATGTAAACTTTATGATATCCCTAGGGCACCTGAATTCCTATTTTCACCAATATTAGAAAAAACAAAAAGTTACATAAATGTGGGTTGTACTTGAAAACTCTTACTTCACTAAGCACATTAGTTCAAAACTCAGTGCATTTATTTGAGGTATTTATTTAGCTTTATTGGGATACAATATACATGATATACAACACATCCCTTTAATGTGTACAACTCAATGGTTTTCAGTATATTGACCAATACAGCCTATTAGCACCACAATTTTTGAACATGTAGCATGGGTCAGAATGTCCTCTATTTTTAAGGTTGAATAATGTTCCACTGAATGTATGCATAGCTCTTTGCTCCTGCATTCATCAGTTGATGTACATTGGGTCACTTCCATTTGCCAGTCTGAGTAATGATGTTGTGAACATAGGTTTGTATCTCTTTGAGACTCTGCTTTCAACTATTATGGGTATACACCTGGAAATGAAATGGCTGCATTAAATGGTTATTCTGATTTTAATTTTTTTGAAAAACCATTATACATTTTCCCATACTGGTTGCACTATTTTGCATTCCCACCATCAGTGCACAAGGGATCCCATTCCTCACGTTCCTGCAGACACTTCTCATTTGTTTTGGTTTTTCTTCTCTCACTCACCCTAATGTGTGTGAGAATACCTTTATTTTTATAGGAATCATTACTCTTGCCTCCATAAAGGCAGGTCTGTCTGTATCATACATACTATATACACTCACACCTGAGCAATTCCTGAGACAGCGTTAATTTAAGATGTAATAGGTGGTGGGAATAGAAATGCTTCATGATGACATCCTTAATCACTGATGCCACCACCCTTCTAGAGAAGACAGAAAACACACCCCTGGGTCCTGTTATCTCACATGCCATTGTGAACTCACCTTCAAAGCTCTTATTTCTGCCTAATAAACCAAACCTTATCATTTGTTTAAAAATGTCTCCTTCCCCATAAAATTGAAAGTACCAGGACTATAAGAACTTTTTTTTTTTTTTAATGTCTCTATAGTTTTGAGTCTAGAGTGCCTGGTAGACAAGGGACACTCAAAAAAGTTAACATTATGACACAGCTCCTCAGCAAGAAAGGCCTACTTTGAATCCTGGTCCTGTCTTTGTCCTTTTGTATCAAAAGATGCAGGCCTCCGTTGACTCATTAAGTAAGTTAAAACAGTGAACAAGAATAATCTAGTTGCTCTAAGCTAATTTTATTTCGTGCTTCATGAAGTGGGCAGTCTCCACTCTAAAGAGTCCAGAGAACCGGGCGCCTGGGTGGCTCAGCCGGTTAAGCGTCTGACTTCAGCTCAGGTCATGATCCCAGCGTCCTGGGATCGAGTCCCACATTGGGCTCCCTCCTCGAGGGGAAGCCTGCTTCTCCCTCTCCCACTCCCGCTGCTTGTGTTCCTGCTCTCGCTATCTCTGTCTCTGTCAAATAAATTAATAAAATCTTAAAAAAAAAAAAAAAAGAGTCCAGAGAACCGGGCACCTGGGTGGCTCAGCTGGTTAAGCGTCTGACTTCGGCTCAGGTCATGATCCCAGAGTCCTGGGATCAAGCCCCGCATTGGGCTCCCCGCTGAGCGGGGAGTCTGCTTCTCCCTCTACCTGCCGCTCCCCCTGCTTGTGCTCTCTCTCTTCCTCTCTCTAACAAATAATAAATAAAATCTTAAATAAATAAATAGTCCGGAGAACACAAAGCAAGGAGCAGGGCTGCAGACTGTTATAGAGGGAAGCATTCAGGGAATAAGGAAAGAGTATTTGGCTTCAGTTGATAGGCTGGGGTTGTATATCTGACTTTATTTAGAGCAAGGAAAGCATTAGGGATAAATGACCAAACATTCCAAAACAATTATGATTACCAATCACAGTTACATTTACCTCCTCACAGCATCCAATTGACAGCAATGTGTTCCTTCACGAACTATCATTCAGATCACTTAACACTGGTCCAAATTCTAGAAGTCCTTTTGGATACTTTCTTACTGATACACCCACAGTCACTTCTCCTTTGCAGTCCTGCTGATGACAAGTGGGTACACTGCTCTCCATGACTGCAGGTATGTCCTGGTGGTTCTGGCAAGAGGTACTGACACAAACATGATTTAAGTGTTTGGTATTATGAGTGAATGAGAAGTCAGATTAATGACAAAAAATTTTCAATATATAAGAATAAAAATTAAATTTGCCTGAGAAGAAATACCTGAACTTGCAACCATGTACCAATACTGACTCAGAATGCACAATAGTTAAATGGAAAAACTACCAAAGTGGATCCAAATGCCCATTATTGACAAGGGATATTTTAATATATGCTCTCAGGAAGTGAAAAGTAAAGACAGTAACATTTGTTAGTATACAAGTCATTTGAAAACACAGTTAATAGGATGTTTCTAAGAAATGTCCACATAAGGTTTTTTTGACAAAAATCCCCTGCACAGGGGCGCCTGGGTGGCTCAGTCGTTAAGCGTCTGCCTTCGGCTCAGGTCATGATCTCAGGGTCCTGGGATCGAGTCCCACATCGGGCTCCCTGCTCAGCAGGAAGCCTGCTTCTCCCTCTCCCACTCCCCCTGCTTGTATTCCCCCTCTCGCTCTGTCTCTGTCAAATAAATAAATAAAAATTAAAATTAAAAAATCCCCTGCACATTGTTGTCATTTTTACAACAATGAGAGCTTAATTATGCTCATGATTTTGAATTGTGCTCCAGGGTTTTATTTTTGTAGTTTATCTGTTTACAGTGTTCAAAGCATAAAGAAATACATTTTATCACGCAAACAATGAATCACGGAACACTACATCAAAAACTAATGATGTAATGTATGGTGATTAACATAACATAATAAAATAAAATTAAAAAAAGAAGGAAATGCAAAAAAAAAAAGAAATACATTTTATCTTCAAATGTGGACGTAGAGAGGTTTGTCCTTAATGCTCTCAAATCCAACATTTACCTGTTTTCTGCTTGAAATTCTCAAAGTTTGACTAATGACCAGGGACCTTCAGACTATGGAAAATACCCAAATGCTTATGGTTTAGAGAAATACAAAACCCAAACAACTCTTTCAATCAAGAATGGAAACCAGGGAATCCAGAAGCTGAGTTACCCTGCAAGTGTCTTTCTGGGTGTCCTACCTGAGCAGTTACGGGGATGGGAATGGACACCTCTATCCCAGGAGGGTGGAACCTGTCCCCTCCTACAGTAGTTGTGCAAGTCAATGCCCCATTTTACAGTGGAAGAAACCCAGACTTAAAGGCTAAATGAATCGCCCAAGATTGTATTAATAGTAAGCAGTAGAAGCAAGACTCTCCATATTCTTTCTACTTTATCAAGATGGGTCAAAGTAGATCTACTTTCCGTTCACTCTTTAAATTTTGTTTAACTTACATTTTTATCAAAGTAATATATTTATAGGGTTCAAGAATCAAATAATACCATAAAACTTCTAAAAATAAAAAGTGGTCTCGGGGCGCCTGGGTGGCTCAGTTGGTTGGGCGTCCGACTCTTGCTCAGGTCATGATCTTAGGGTCTGAGATCGAGCCCCGTGTCAGGCTCAGTGGGGAGTCTGTTTGGGATTCTCTCTCTCCCTCTGCCCCTACCCCACGCTCTCTTTCTCTCTTTCACATAAATTTTAAAAATTAAAAATAAATTTTTTAAGTGGTGGCCAAAAAAATAAATCTTAAAAAAAAAGTGATCTCCTACAATACCTCCCTAATTCTAATTCCTGTCCCCCAAAAGCAACTGATATCAATTTTTCTAGTCATTATTTAGAATTTATGTCCATATGCTTTAACAGCATAATAGGACTACTGTTTCTTTTTTTTTTTTTTAAGATTTTATTTATTTATTTGACAGAGAGAGACACAGCGAGAGAGGGAACACAAGCAGAGGGAGTGGGAGAGGGAGAAGAAGGCTTCCCACCGAGCAGGGAGCCCCATGTGGGGCTCGATCCCAGGGCCCTGGGATCATGACCTGAGCCGAAGGCAGACGCCTAACGACTGAGCCACCCAGGCACCCCAGGACTACTGTTTTTGATTTCTAAGTTTATTCTCCTCTTTCTTACATTTGTATGGTGGAGAATACACTTGGCCAATCTTTTTTCTAACTTCTTAAACTGAGGGAAGTTATATCTACTTTGATGAGTAAAGAATGATTTGAACGACTAGGTGCCTGTTTTTTTTACTTAACAAGAGGCCCAAAGGCAGGCAATGTGCTGGCTTAGATTCAGCTGTTCAACAGTTTCCATTGGCAACTCTTTGATGCTCTTAGCCCTGTGGTCCCAGGACTGCTACTTCAGCTCCAGGTATCCTGTTTGTATTCAAACATGTGGGAAGAAAGGAGGAAAAAAGTGTTGCACCAATTGCATATGCATTTTAGATCAGAAAAAAACAAAAATCTTTCTGGGGGCTTATGGCTCATTGGCCAAACCATGTTATACTGCAAGGGAAGTGATAATTAGTGTATTTCACATTTCTAGCCTCCAGAGTGGAGTCAATGAAAGGAGGAGGTTGGAGGGGCACCTGGGTGGCTCAGTTGGTTAAGTGTCTGACTCTGGTTCAGGTCATGATCTCAGGGTCCTGGATTCCAGCCCCATGTTGAGCTCCACGCTCAGTGGGGAGTCTGCTTGTTCCTCTGCCCCTCTCCCCACCCGTACTCTCTCTCAAATAAGAAAAAGACAGGAGGAGGCTGGGAATAGGGTTGCAGTAGCCAGTCAGTGGGATCCAGCCACATTTCCTCATACCAGATCTGGCCTCCACATACATCTCTCTCTCTCTCTCTCTTTTTTTTTTTTTTAAGATTTTATTTATTTTAGAGAGAGAGGTGGGGGAGGAGCAAAGGGAGAGGGAGAGAGAGAATCTTAAGCAGGCTCCACGCCCAATATGGAGCCCGACATGGGGCTCAATCTCAGGACCCTGAGATCACAACCTGAGCCAAAATCAAGAGTTCGTTGCTTAACCAACTGCACCACCCAGGTGCCCCCCATCTTGACCATCTTTAAGCACAGAGTACACTGGTATTAAATACCTTCACTATGTTGTACAACCATCACCATCATCCATCTCCATAGCTCTTTTCATCTTGTAAAACAGACACTCTATACCCATTAGATAAAAGCTATCCATATCCCGTGCCTGCAGCCCCCGGCAAGCACCACTCTACATTCCGTGTCTACGAACTGGATTACTCTATATACCTTATATAGGTGGGATGATGCGTTATTTATCCTTTTGTGTCTGACTTCTTTCACTCAGCATAATGTCCTCAAGGTCCACATGTAGCCTGTGTCAGAATTTCCTTCTTTTTTTTTTTTGTAAAGATTTTATTTATTTGACAGAGAGAGACAGTGAGAGCAGGAACACAAGCAGGGAGAGCGGGAGAGGGAGAAGCAGGCTTCCTGCCGAGCAGGGAGCCCGATGCAGGGCTCAGTCCCAGGACCCTGGGACCATGACGTGAGCCGAAGGCAGACGCTTAACGACTGAGCCACCCAGGCGCCCCAGAATTTCCTTCTTTTTTAAGGCTCAATAATATTCCATTATATGTATATATCACTTTTCGTTTATCAGTTCATCAATTAATAGACACTTGGGTTGCTTCCACTTTTTGACTGCTGTGAAAAATACTGCTATGAACATGGATATGCAAATATCTCTTTGACAACCTACTTTCAATTCTTTTTAGTATATACCCAGAAGTGAACATGCTGGGTCATACGGTAATTTTATTAGAAAGTGATATATGGTTTTCCATGGCAGATGCACCAATTTTTATTCCCACCAGTGTCCAAGGATTCCAATTTGTCTACACTCTCACCAACCTTGTTATTTTGTTTTTGATAGAATTCCTAAGGGTGGTGAGGTCATTCCCTTTACTCCTTTTTTTTTTTTTTTAAGATTTTATTTATTTATCTGAGAGAGAGAGAGAACACGAGAGAGGGGTTCAGAGGCAGAAGCAGACTCCCCGCTGAGCGGAGAGCCTGATGCGGGACTCGATCCTGGAACTCCAGGATCATGACCTGAGCCGAAGGCAGTCGCTTAACCAACTGAGCCACCCAGGTGCCCCTCCCTTTACTCCTTTAATCATGCTTTTGTTTAGTTATGAATATACTCGTAATGTCTACTTTGAAGTATTTTTTTCTGCTAAATCTGACATCTGTTAAACTCTCATATGCATTTTCTGATGCCTGCTTTTTCATCCAGCGTACGAGTCATACCTTCCTGTTTCTCAGCATTTCTCATGGTTTAGTTGCAACTGGACATTTGAGATAATATATTGCACTTTGTGGGTATGCTTCACTCTTCCAGGCCATGTTAGTGTTGTCTTTTGTTGTTTAATGACTTCTTGGTTATGTTGGCGAAGTCTATTTCTGCCTGACAGTGCTAAGCCTCTGATGTTGCTCTTTGGCAGAGAAGGGGGTATACAGCTTTGATTACGTCCGCCGTCATCTACAACATTGGTATTGGCAGGAATCTCTTCTACTCTTTCTTGGACCACACTGAGTTGATAAAATGGACTAGGTGCTGACAGATGGCTCTACTGTTTTCAACCAAGTCCCAGGACAAATTTGCCTACAAACTAATCCAAACATACTGTGGATCCTTTATAGTAATACTACCTGAGGGTAGTGTTTGATATTTGCTCTGAGCCTTAGCAGACTCCTCTTAGCCGTCTTATTCCCTGGTTTTCTCTGTGAATGAGCTGGCCTAGAGACCAGATCTTCATTAAATCCACAAATCTCCTGCCAGTTTTTTGTGTCTATTTCCCGTCTTTGGCTTGTACTTCTCGTAATCTGTAGTAACTGAAGTTAAGTCTTTGCCAAGAGATTACAAGCTGTTTTATAGCTTGCTTTCCCCTCACCGTCAGGCATAATTTCTCTGCTTAGAGCTTTGGAGCATGGGTAGGGACAATGGCAAGCTTCTGTCTGAATTACATTCTCTTTCTAGGAACTAACTACTCAGTGGAGGGAAGGGACAGCAGCTTGATGTTCTGCTTTTGTCTCTTGGTGGCATGGAACCACCAACTTAGGAGCTGAAGCAAGGGTGATCAGGGTCCCAGTATTAGCATACCATGCCCGTTGCTAAAGCCTATGTAA